TCTCAAGGAGGGTAAACATCTACTTATTGCAATTCTGGCATGCACGGAACAGTGTGGATTTAGTCCTAGCGAATTGGCGTAAAACGGGTGCTAAAATACTCGGGGAGTCAGGATTAAGCACATGCGATTGTAATAAACACTGAGAAAACTATTCTTGACACCCTCAGGTAGGAGATAAAAATATCTTCCTCTCGGATCTTATAAAACTCTGGAGGGGTTTCTCGAGAGAAAATTTTCTGCACATTTTGTAAAATGTCGGTGATCAAATCAAACCGCTGATGAGGATTTAAGATCTTAAGGTTCTTTCGGATATCCGCTTCTGTAAGTGCTTCCGTGGAACCAGTGTGCACTTCCTAAAACAATTCCAGCTAGTAAACATGGCTAGTGATGCGTTTGCAAGAAGAAACGAAGCCTTCTCGACTAATTTTCAGAGTCAAGAAGTGGCATTCCTTATAATGCTTCCTAAAATATAATAGGGGTTAGTTAGAATATTGTGTTCGAAGGGGAATGAGCCCCACGATTACAAAAGTGGGTCAGAAAATCTCTGAAGAGATTTTAAGAGTGACTCTCTCTCTCTGTTCTGCTCTAAACCCAAAATATCTGGGAATCGGCTAATATTGTTTCGGCCACACCTTATACATTCCGTTCTAGCCCTATGTCACAGACCCACAACCGTCATCTTATAGCACAGCCTCAATCAGCAATGCGCCATTAAAGACTACGTAATTTGGACCAAAGAAGGAAGAAGACAACAGCACAACACACGATTGAAGTAATTCAGGGTCAGAGAGGAATCCCCTGCTTTATACAATAGAATGTGGGTTGGAGTGAAGAATAGTCTGGCGCGGAAATTAAAAAAAAAACGGATCTTGCGCGAATCGCGAGAAACAAGTGACAGCGGGCAAGAAAAAACAAACAAAAAAGCATGTTTGTGAAGCTGAGATGAACGAAATCAAGATGAGGCTAAGAAGAACAATACTGATGTTCAATTTAGGGAGGTTTTTAAGCATGACCTTTCGAATCAGATTCAAGATCGAAAATGAAAGGCCGAAAGGACAGTGGCTGGACAGTAATTAGATGGTTATTAAGAAAGAGGACAGCCTGCAGTGGCAATATGGGCGAATATATGTATTGGATTAGAGGATAAGGAAAGAAGACCATTGATGAAAAAGAAGAATACAGAAAAGGAAACTACGAAACCCTGATAGATAACAGTGTTATCGGAGAAAGAGAGTCTGATTAACTCAAACTAGGACACTGCTAACGTAAAACTTGAAATGGTAAGAGACTAATCCTGACAAATAGCCAAAGGAGGGCTTATTGGCGATCGCTCACGTTCACCGTGTAAATAAATCTGGTCAGCGATGACGGCTTCTCTTACTTTCTAAAAAGAAGCTAGAGTAGATGACGGAATAAATCGATTAATTCGGGGACAAAAATGTAGAGGGCACCCCGTGCAGGTCGATTTAACATCTCTCTTTAATCGTTCTGGAGTTGTTTAATTGACTGGCATCAGCTAAAAGGGTTGCGATTCTACAGCGCTTCGCAGCACAGGATAATGAAGATAGTGGTTGTAATGTTAACTTCAGAAGGGATAACAATCTGTTTCCCCAGTGAATGGATCTGTAAGACTGCAACTGTGTCACATTCTTCACTGCTACAAAATGCCGTTGGTTTTCAACTTCGTCTATTACGTCCTGGAAAGAGAGGGTTGAATGTTTTCGTATGCGCTATAAACTTTGTCAGTTTATTTATTTCCCTATTGATTCTCGAATGACCAGTCAATTGAAAGAACGGATTTGTTAGTTTGCACCGTTTCCATCATTCACTAAACAGTCTCGATGGATTAAACAAAGTAAATTAGATCAATGAACAAACGATTCAGTAGCAAATTCGACAGGGGGAGTCGACAAAAGAAAACTTAAAAATGACGGGTAGCATTACACGGATTTTTCTTTTAATTTCCTTTTTTTAAAAAGCCCACCAACCGACCGAACAAAGAATAAAACACTCACCCATCTGAAGCGGTATTTTGCACACCAAACGAGGGCGCCATTCGCCACAGTTTTCCACTACGTGAACGTAAGCGCCAATGACCAGTCACTAGACAGTAGATTCCAGGTGTCATGCCATTAGTAGCGGAAACACCGGAATTCGGGCATTCACCATCGAAGCTGGAATTCTGGTGTACAGAAACAGCCGCGGCAATCGCATCCGAGCTATTAAAACCTTTGCCACCGAGATATTCCAGCTGAAAAATGGCCGTCTCATCAAGTTCGTGCTGATTGGCTGATATTTCTGTGCCTGAAATAGAAATGGAGATAGAATACGTGTTTTCTGTGTGAATTTATCTCTCTCAAGCACAAATAGAGTTGTGAAATGAGTAATTTGTAGCAAGATAGCAAAAGCAAATCACAATATTGTCTATACAATCCGAAGTGTGGCTACAACGCCAAACTAGCGGCGTGTTTGACTTGAAACAACCAGACTAACGGAGGTAAGAGGTTGGGGTGGGAAACACGACTATTAAAGGTGTGCGCGCAATGGGATCATGTGTGTGTGTGAGTGTGCATTTGTTCGTCCGTCAAATAGGGCCCAACATACTCCGAATTTCAGAGCAGTGCCTCCCTGCTTTAGTGACAAGCATGGCCACCATCCTGACGCACATACATATATGTTAGTCGTCACAAGGCGTCAGGACAAGTGTATGACTAGGTGCAGCACAAATTCCGTCCAACAGTACCGGATGCCAAAGTCCCAGTTTACACATGTTCACAGAAAGATCAGCATTCTTGTCTTTGTGCACACGTGCTATCCAAAAATCGATCCAAACACAATGAATTCCAACGCCAGAGAAATTCCACGGACATGGGCAAATGGACAAAATCACGGGAACGGTTCAGTGCATCTCAGTTCCTAGTCCGTGCCCTATTCAAACTCGGTTCGATGAAGAAGGTAGCAGTGAAGACAACAGCCGAAATAATGAACGAACCAGACCAGCAAAACGAACATTAGTTTATTAATCCTAACGACGCAGATGGGGGAGTAAAAAGCACAACTAGGGGACGATAGCCAATGAGCCAGTGAGTGACGAAGGAAACCACTTTATTATACGATAAATAGCATGATGTTGTAGAGAAAAATGATTATAGTTCAGATAGGTTGCATCCCCGGATTATTGGTGTAATTGTTCGAAAATCGTTCGGAAGTTTTGATAACTGTCTTGAACGGTAGTATGCGAGCCTACTTAACCCTTATCGGGACCTCAAGTATGAGTTGGTCTATTGAAGTTATCCACCCTGCTGTCATACACACACATGCACCGCAGTAATTGAATCCGAATGGCCTCAAATACCTCTCCTGATGCTCAAGGGCGAACCTTAGTACAAATGAATACACATCAGGCTACCTTTCGTTGCATTCGTTGGCATGCATAAAACGCTTTCAAACAGCTCCGTTTCGTAGTGCGCGTGATCCGTATTTTCCGTGCACGGCAATTGCGTAATCCCGTGGTCACGAGGGCTTAAAATGTAGGTTTGGGCAACTATAGAATAACGCGCATGGTGAATGCCTCGGGAACAGAGAAATTGTACGGATGTATTGCACGATAGCACAACTGATGTATTGTAACCAAATTATTGGAACAGTACAAGCGAATAGCAGCCCGTAGCCAAGGGATTGGCTACGGTTAGCATACCACGCCTAACCTCTGGTGGTTCGCCACTCCAAGTCCCGGGGCTTAGGTTACCGGTTTCTATCACTGAACAGCAGGTAATCTTGACTATGGGTTTCACCTCGTCTGCTGTTCATCAAACAAATGTGTGTAATAAAAAAAATTACTGAATGCTACCGATCGCGTCTACAGTTCGCGGAGAGATGAACGGCGATCTTGATGGCTAACAGTGAATAGCAAAGAGCCACTCACTAAATAATCGATCACGGACGATCAGCGGCAACACTCAAGATCTTTATGGAATATCCAGACGGTAACCGACGTCCCTTTTTGAAAGCTGAGTGTCTGCTGAAAGCATCGTGATGTGTTCGAATGTGGCCCGTAGCGATTCGAATTCAAAAATCCGATCTTTGTGAACAACTAGACTTTGTGGCTAGCCTTATCCTGCAATGGCAGGTTCTGGCCGATAAGCATGTTCTCTCACTCCTACTCTTTGTTCAACCCGAGTGCGACTGGTAACTTTAGACCGGTGTGTTGATTTTGCTTAATCGAGAGTTTTCAATGTTTAAAGATTTGCCATTGTTCTGATAGAACACTCACATCACTGTTTGTATACAGCTGAGGAGAACGCAAAATAGTTGAATTCAACCATTTCTGTGATGATGCTTGTTTCCGCGCGGATGACTATTCTGCCCTACGTTCTCTCTCTCTCAAAGGCTGGGATGACAAATTTGCTAGCAGGTAACATTAACAAGCTGAAAACCAGGTGCAGCATCAAAGTAGCATGATGGAACGTAAGGACATATCTAGACATAGAAAGCGAGTGCAGTACAATGCTTTCATTATACGACTGGAAGGTAGACATCTACTGTCTGTCCGACGTCTGATTGCCTGTAGCACCAAACAAATCAATGTACGAATGAAACCTATATACAGCTTATACCACAACGGACCAACTGACAGCTCCGGTTTGCACGAAGTAGCAACCGACGTAAATCACTAAGCCAATAATGCCACGTTGATATTCTGGAAACCAATATCTCCCAGGATTATCATAGCGCGTCTCAGGGGTAAGCCGATTAAAATGAATGTCACCAACGTCTATGCTCCACTGTTACATACAGAAGAGCCCATCAAAGACGGCTTCCATAAACAAGTTCAAGACGCAGTCAACCGTAGTCATAGACGCGATTTTTTCCTTTTCGTATGAGTGAAAGGCATTCACTGATCCACCAGACCAGCATGTTAGGCATGTTCTGGGGAAGTTTAGCCTTAATTTAGCGTTGCGAGCATGGCGAACGGATAGCCAGGTCTCGTGACCTTAACCGGATGATCGCGGCCAACACTCGTTTTCCGCACCTCAGAACACGTCTACTGATTTGGTATTTGAAAAGCGGTCTAAAGGCACACCAGATTATAATTACATTTTGGTACAGGGTGCTCGCTGGGCGGTCTTCGGGGGAAGACCTTCATCATTATTGCGATGCAGAAACAGGAACTGCGAGGATTGGAACCTTGAAGGCACCTACTTCACAATATCTACCCGACTACTCCCCCCCCCTCCCGAGGCGAATTCAACGTCGCCCTCTCCTGGATCTATCCGAGAAAGGGCAGGCGGTGCTGGACGTAACAACTTCCAACATAGATACAATACCTCTCGACGAGGAAACTGTTGACAAACAGTAGTCTACAATGAAAAGGCCATAATGATCGTTGCATTTGCTAACACTGTTCATTTCAACGACAGGGCTCAAGTGAGATTCTCAGGATCCCTTCAAAATAACAGTATTGGAGAACATGACCAGATTTCACGGTCTTAATTTTCTTGCTGGGTTTTTCGACAGGACTAGTTGAAGAATGAAAAGGGGAAGAAAAGCACCCGAGAGCCGGGGAAACTGTATAAAGCGACCGTCAGTTTCACAACGAAAGATCTCTCTTTTTGCCTCTTTTTCTTTCCAAAGTTTTCCTGATATAATCTGTATTGGATTAGTAACTCGCGGGGGCATAAGCCCATTTTGCCAGACACCGGTGCTATAGACAGAAGAACCGGCTCAATGACCAAAGACACCTGTGAACTTAAGACTTATCGGAGCGTGATGGCAAAACCATGATAGACTTGTCAGAAACAACAAGGTTCGTTAGCCAACTTAAGTACTCATTTCCACTTAATCTCTATAACTAGGCTGAAGTTGGTTTTACCTTTTCAGGAAGGGAATCATTCTTACCAATTGGTCACAACCAAATGTACCGTCAAAAGTGACCATGTATTTTTGAACAATGAAGACAACCCTNNNCAACGGCCAGTTTTCACTTTCACTTTTAATTTTCCTATTATCGTACTTTTAAGGAGCTCAACTAGACCGCACCGGCAGTATTCCCCACCAACTTGGATCAAGTATACTTTCAGGTTTCCTCTGCCGTTGCTAACATACTAGCCTAGGCTAGCGGCAATTCATTTATAACCTATCAAATCTTTAATATATATATATATATATATATATATATATATATATATATAGTTGATTAACTCATCATTGGTTCTATTTACACCGAACAGATTGCAGGAGGAAATTGTGAGCGATTATTAGTGGAAGTTTCCGACCAATATCAGAGACATACTATTCGCAAAATGTCTGTAAAACACAGAGCTGGAAACATCATACTCGGAAAATTATTTTTATATCGTATTGTATTAATGCTTCTCCTTTACCTTGTGATATTGTTGTTGTACCAAACAACTGAAACTGTAATGAAAGAGGGCTAGTTTGACGAACTTGGATTAAACTTTCTTCAAATAATTAAAGTTCAAATTATCATCTCATCAGTGCAATGAACACATAAAAATCGGAACTGACCTTGTTTGACTGAGGCATATTTATTATTGTGGGCAAGGACACCGACTTGAAGAACCGCTCGTTCAATGAGAAACAGTTCTTCTTTGCCTGGAACTGTGCTGTTCACTTTCACTTTGGCAGTACCCGGACCAACAGTAGTCAAATAGGCTCCACTCGTGTCCCGGAATGCAAAAGTTCTTGGGGTACCTGAAAAAGTCATTAACATATGCTTTGCAGAATCAGAAAGAGCGAGGCATGCTGTGAGTCCACGATACTTGAAAGAACAACTATCTGCTCACCGCAAAGTATCTACGAGGACGTTGGCAACTATCCGTGGCGTAATATGAGTGATCCTCATGATCACACAAGGCTCCGTGATGTTGGAATATCGACCACTGTTCAAGTGTCGGAAGATTTCAAGCACATTTGGCAACCTGACCACCACATTGGGTTCACTAGCAAATCAGAGAACTTTATCTTTGTTAAATCAGTGTACGGGAGCTTGTTCGGCACAAAACTTGGAATCAGACGCGTTTGAAATGCACTCACATCCATGCAAACGAACCCGTAGGATAGGTGCCATATTGAACCGGTTGCCACATCTATTCAAGTTGGTTGACGCTGTGTTGAGTCTAACCAAGCAAAACCCAGAGTGGGCCTATGAGAGTGACTTAGACTACTGCTTGGTCAGCACCACTACATTGTTCGACTTAAATGGGATATGATTCAAGCGGGTGTCACACCAGTGTGATTCAGGTCTTGAAATTCCAAGTCGGGCTGCAATTCAGTTCAGCTCAATAGTGTGCTTATGGTGTTAGAGTATTAGGTAGTTCGATCCTCCAAACCTCACTGACGAAAACCGTAATTCACTGGGAATCATTGCCCAGTTCGTCGGATAGTACACCCTATGCACGGAGGTTAAACATCCAACTCGAAACCGGCGACCACTACCACAACCAGGATGGTTTGGGTGATTGTGGTTTGTACGCATCTTCTTGGTTGGTTCATCGACCCGGCTAAAGCCCCGGATGAAGAGTGAATCCGGTGTATATCTACGAAGCCCACATCTGTTTTGAACTACACTAAGATGCATAATAAAAACAAATCTTGTTATCACTTTTACATAAACCTAATTTTGACAATTTTGACATGATTACGGGTTTTTTATGTGATAACCGGCAAAATATGGTACCGCGTTTAAAACAAAAGACGGTATGAAGTGTCGCTTCCGGTAATTGCTAGTGAATGATCCAAAAGGAGTCAAAATCACTGACTGTTATAGGGATATTCCGACTGTTCCAGTGACAAGTGATGTCAAAACGCCTCACTATGGTCGGGGTGGGTGTCTTGGGTTTTGCCTCGTCACCTTTCCCTTGCACCAGGCGAAATGCTCCTACATTACCAAGCCTCTCAAACAGCCTCTGCTGAGGAAGCCTTCCCATCTCGGAGGTGTTTCCTCCGTGAAATTGAGAGGTCCAAAAGCCAATATCCGGGTCGCTGAACCACTGACACCTTACCTAGGGCTATTGGCCCAAATCCCTAATTCTAAAGCAACTAAGAAACGTACGAACCACGTAAACACCTTGTTTTGGCGGTGGCCACCGGCTCGATTGGGTATTGAGGTGTATCGGGCACCCAGTCCAAGGGGTGTGGGATCCGATACACTGGACACCGACCTCCAGTGGATTGCGGTTTTCACTGACTGCCCCGCTGCCTTGCGAGTCAGGCTTTGGCTAGCTGAAGGCTCTGGTTGTGAACTGGTCAGGAAAATTCACCTACTTTGGCCTGGCAATATCGTCCTCTCGAACAGATCATAGACCTCTTTCTTTTTTGTAAAGATTGTTGCACTATGATTTGTTTGGCATATAGTCTGGATTCAGACTATGTGAAACACTAAACATTAAAGCTCTTAAGGATCTAATCTGTCTCATACCAATAAAACACTCAAATGATCTTTTTTCCAACTGGCGCAACTTTTTTCATATAATTGCCACCATTTTTCATGAGATTTTCCCCAATATTAATGTATTTCGTATTTCCTCAAATTCGAATTTGTTCCGGTTCAACAGGATCAAACATGCAAGCACCTACCCATCGCCCCCCCCGGCCCCACAAACACCTCGATTGCATACAAACAATTGTTGATCGCTTTCTATGGTCTCCGTAATGCTAACTGAAACCGGTCGATACATCCCCCCCCGCTACGGTCAGCGCGGGTCGGCATTAGGACCGCCATCCTGCCTCTGCGACTGTTCATGCCCACTACATAATACTATCGTTTTTTGGCGCATCAACTGAACACGATAACGAGGCCGCAATATTCATGGGCTCCAGGAACGGCCAAACGGTCATGTTGATCAGTTGCGGATTTATCACTCGACAGTGATATTTCCTACCTGTTATGGAATTCCGAATCGAATGAAACGGCAACAACAACTGCACATATTTTTTATTACACCCCATGGTGATGAACAACAGAGACGGGGTAAACCCCCTGGTCACGTGGACCTGTGGCTGTTCAGGGATGGAAACAGGTAACCTAAGCCATGAAGTGATGAACCACACGCCACAAACCTCCGTAGTCAATGAGTGATGGGATTGGAAATAACAACTATGGAGGAAGCTTAACGGGAAAAATCAATGTTTTTCAATGGTGCTGAACAGAATGTGGGGAAAACAAAAAATGGATCATTCGTTCGAACGTAAATTGCAGCATAGTAATAACCGGGATTGCACACATTACGTACACTTTATGCTAACGTAGACATCGCATAATCTGGTCAAAAAAACAAAACAAAACAGATTGCTCGCAGTGTCCGTTGGCGCAAGTGCAGAGTAAAGTATTGCCTTCTCGTGGTCCCATCCACAACGAACTGACCAAAACAAGGTTGACGAATAAATAAAAGAATAGTATGTATTAGCAATTATGTCATCGGGCACTCAGTTCCACGAATCTCACGTTATGAAAGAAGAATTCGCTTTGTCAATTGTGGGCAACACAAAGTGTTCTGGTTACCAGTAAAGCAGACCGTGCTTGTTCAACATTACAGTCTCGGATTAAACACCTCATCTTGTGCCTCTGGTCAAGATCCGGCTGTGAAGCACACGATTCAAGACTGGGTAGAAACGGAAAAATATCTGTTTCTTTCAGGTCGTAGACAAGCATCGTAATTAACCGTTTTTGCGTACCATTCACCCTTAAGGTTTGTCTGCAACATATCCATCCATGCACTAAGGGTTACAACATCGGCCACAATTACCCAGACCACCATAGTCCGTTGTCCATAGATGCCCATTGAGGGTCGTATTTTTCAATACAGCAATCACTATGTCAACTCCAATAGAATTGTTCTTGTTGTAGACTGAAACGATAATGGATCTTCTCTTGATTGCTCCCCCTTGTACAACCATTAACTATGCACTTTCGTGTGCCGGTTTTGGTTGTTGTCTTTTGATTGCCCATTTGGATTCAGCAGTATGAAAAAGACAGGACAGCTGGAAGTAGAGTCAAGGGAAGAATCGAGAATTTCAGTAGACTAAGGCTGCAAAGAAATTGAAAAGATACACGAGTGCCATTGTTTACGACACTCAGTGTTTTTAACTCTTGATTACAATGATCCCGTCGTCCACATCCAGAGAGCCTAACGAAACGGAGTCGCCCGGTTAGAGTTTGCATACTTTCATACCAGGTCTTAGGTTGATCATCCTTGGCTTTTTCACCCACTAAGTACCTCGGCAAACATGCGCCGTGGTGACATACGTAACACATGCCCCAACCAACGTTATCTATGGAGGTCGACCACTTGCTGCAGTGAGCCACCGCGGTTACCCAAAACTCTGCATCTAACCTCACCAATGCTTGTCCGGCTGCCCCACCAGATTCGTGCAACGCGACATAGACAGCGGTGTTTGACCACCGGTAATCCATTTCTTTCCTGTACCCACAATGGCCAAGCCTCTGTGCTGTACGGCAGAAATGGTTGAACTACCGCAACATATACTCGACCCTTCTCGGACAGCCGGAAGTCGCGGCGGCACCACAAATGTCTGAAGTTGGCAAATGCCAACCGAGCCTTTTGTGTGCGATCTGAAAACTCCTCTGTCCGTCAAATGAGATATCGTAGTCCTAATAGCAAAACTTGTCCACTTGGTTTATTAGTTCCCCAGTAAAAGTGATGCTGGACTAACTCAGTCTTACTGCGACGTTTGCACTTTGGAGGTGCGAAAACCAATACCGAGAGAATAGGGCTGTTTCCATAATCAAATCCATCATCATCGTACAGTGAGATACGGTGAAGCGAACAACACTGATCGCTGCCAAGCTCACAATGTACACAAATCAAGTGATAAAGTACAAGATGGAGAGGGATTGGGCCTAATTGGAGGGAAGCAAAGAAAAAAAACCTCTATGTTCAACACAGAGCACACAATCCAAGTGTGCATACATACCTTTTCAAGCATTCCGACCTGATAAGAAATGATAACAAAGTTAAACAGAAAATGAGAGACAAACACCACTTTTCGTGGTGAACTTGGGCGAAAACGTGCCGTAAGCTCGGACTCGATTTCGGCTATGAGTATAGAGGAATCGTAATACTGAAATTAACGTCTCGGGTACACCCTTCAGGGAAAGACAGCACCAGAGTTTAGAGCGGTGGACTGAGTCAAAGGCGGATTTGAGATTGAGGCGGTGGTGGTGCAGTGGTTTAGTCGCTGTCAACGGCGTGCTTTGGACCCTATGGTCCGAGGTTTGAGCGCCGCCACCGCCACCCGACTTTGGTGGTAGGCAGCCCTGCTGTCGTCCGGTTCAATACCACGCCTAACCTATCTGGGCCTTATGTGGTTCGCCACTCCAAGTTCCGGGGCTTAGGCTGCGATTTCAACCACTGAACAGCAGGTCCTCGTAACTATGGGGTTTACCCAGTCTGCTGTTCATCACACCTAGGTGTGTAATAAAAAAAGATAGAAATGGTGGGTCTACGAAAGGAGTGTCTGTGTTCTAGAGTTTGACGAAGTGTGAAGTAATTGTCGATACAACCTCGACCAGGTCTAAAACTAGCCTGGTTTTCACACGTGCACCGTTTACGTGCGGCAAACAATCGCTAGAGTATAATACCAGCGAGACGTTTAGAGTTGCTTTTGATTAAGCTAATTCCTCTGTGGTTTTCACAAGAGGATCTATCGCCTTTCTTGTAAATCGGTAAGATGACCGTTTCACACCTTGGTGTTGGAACCTTTTCTTTGTCCCATATTGGGTCCAGGAGTTTCTTCAACTCCGAAGCGTAACGCTGAACCTCCATCTTTAAAAGCCAATGGAAATAGCACATCTGGGTTGAAGGCCTTATGCTTTTGCGATAACTTACTTCTCGGGAAGCCTCCCTTTCAGGTAGAGGAATGGCATCAACTGGGAGTATTTGAACTGTTGAGATAAAGGGTGATAGGTTAGATGTTGATGAAGTGGCAGTTGAACTGAGCCTCGAAATATTCAGCCCATCGATGAAGACGGCGTTGCTGATGACGAATCAACGTACCATCGGATTCTTTAATTATTTCACCTACGTCTACTGTCTTTTGGTCTGTATTACTAATTGGACGGAGAAAAGTGTCATTATTACCAACAGTCGCAACTTTCTCCATCTCTCTGTACTTTTCTACCCGCCACTTGTCGCGGTCATTCCTCCGACTTTTGACGAGCTGATAACTGATAAGAGATCGGAGAGCTGCGCTTCGAATGCTGATTTGCAAATAGCGCTGACGGTGTATCGCCGGTTTACGTTGCTGGTGGCTCTGTTGCGGTTGTTTGCTAGGTGAAGGGAGAATTCGGCTCGAAACAACTCATTTTATCCCCTCTGTTTTGGCCGATCCTATTCATTTATCTTCAAACTGAACAGGTTTTTTTAATTTTACGAATGCCATTGTGAAGCATCTCCTCTCTCACTAACTGAATCAACAATAGAGTGATTTATAGACATTCTGGTGTGTGTGTGTGTGTGTGTGACTGCGCACATAGGATCCTTGATCGTCTCGCAGATGGAAAAAGGTTATCATTACTGTTCGCAGATGACGCCAAAATTTGGAATACAGTAACGCAACCAACGGGCTCACTGGCACTCCAAGAAACGTTGAATGCAGCTCATTTGTGGTCCCTTATGAACGATATGGAATTCCATGTGCCAATCTATCCATCTATCTATCTATCTCTACGACACGGGGAGATTTTCATATTTCCTCGGAAATGAACAACTGCCACACGCCATAAGTGAGAAGGACCTGGCTGTCATCACTCAAGAAAACTTAAGCTGCCCACACAACTGCACCAAGGTGTCCAACGCAGCTGTAAAGAATGTCGGCTTGCTTAAGCGGGTCTTCGGCCGATTTGAGTCAGCTTTATTCCCCCGTCTACTATCAGCATACATTCGACCACTCACAGAATACGCTATCCAGGCCTGGAATCCATGGCTACAGCGTGATTGCAAGATGCTGGAGCGTCCACAAAGAATGACCACCAAAATGGTCAGGGGGTTGAATCGGTGTTCATACGCAGAGAGATTGAAGTCACTGGGGTTATATTCCAATCACTACCGGCGCATCAGAGGAGATATGATTATGGTATACCAAATAATGCAAAACCCAAGCCATCCGTGTCGTCCGTTTCTGAAATTATCACCCAACGTTCATTTTAGAGGACACCCATTTAAACTAGTGGTCTCAAAATGCCGCTTGGAATGCCGGTGTCAGTCATTCGCAGTCAGAGTGTGTTCGATCTGGAACTCTCTACCATCCTACGTCGTCTGTGCTCCAAGCATTGAGTCTTTCAAACTGAGGCTCGATGAAACATTAGCACATCTTACATTCCAACATAAGTGAAGCTGCGTGCAGCAGTGGAAAAAGCACGTATCACGTGACATTTTACACAGAATTGTATGTCTCACTGTTTCTTACTCCACCGCACGAACCTATGGGACCAGAAAAGCATGAGCTTGTAAGTTAATCCCATAATAAATCTTTGAAATCAAATTTATCGCAGTAGCGGTATTCCGCTTGATCTTTAATAGCATGCAACAGGGATTCGTGGATAGTAAGTTCCAGAGGTATCAAGATCTGTTACACGCGTTTTGTGAGCAACCCCCAATAAAACGGAGTGAATGTTCGAACACACAGTTCGTCCGTCGGACACATTTCACTTGCCTATGTTCAATCGTGGCAAGCTCCTATCCAGATTGATAATGTGAGTGAGTCAATCAATACTTATTTTCTGTTTCCTCAATTTTTTATTGTTGATCGCAATACTGTAGCTGTAGCTCGAACTTCGCAATCATGGCTGCAATTTTGTCAACTATCCAATCGCTTCGTGCAGGTGTCCGACACAGGTGTATGGGACGGCTCACATAAACCGTGGTAAAAGGTTCGAATTCTCGGTAATCATTGAACATTCCGATGGAACTCCGTTGCTAACTCCAGCTACAATTATGGTTGCAAGGGTACTGACGAATTTGGACGAATCAACCACCCAACGCCATCATCACAACTGTGACCGCGGTACATTTCGATCAATGCACTTCAAGTTGGAGATTCGCACTGTGGTAACATGTGATGCAATCACTAAGTTCATGACAATCAGCGATGACACTTGTGTGGATCAGCATCAGGTAAATCGAAAGTATCGACTAGGAAACGGCAACAAGAAAGAAAACGGTCAAAATAACCGTTTGACATCATGTGTGTATATGTGATGGATTCGATCCTGAGAATGAGATTATAACCGATAGAAATATTTATCATGACCGATAAAGAGCACGGGACAGCTGTTTCGTCCTTTTAGGGACTTGTCAGCTGTGCATACTTTTTGTGTCTTTGGCAGGACTCCAACCGCGAACATTCGGGTCAGGAGTTCAAACTCTTAGCCCTAAACTATACGGTCGACGGTCATCACCTTGTCACCGAAACAGGATGAAACTGCTGTCCAGTGCTCTTTGTCGGTCATCACCATCGCTTATAAACGCATTCAACTAGTGTGAAATTAATGATCTCCCACACCCAAGATCATCAACAGGGCCTAGTGTCTGTGAACAAGGGAATAGATCATTCCAAACTTACCATTCTCAACCTGGGAATCTCTAATATTTGACTACTGTTTGCATCCCTAGTGGTAGAACTGTGATTTCGACTTGGGTCATAGAAAACACGACTATTTCGTGATCCTGAAATATATTTGTACTGCTGTTTCAGCGGGAATTCATCGATTTCATCAAAGACTAAGTGCGGAATGTCGTAAACAGAACACAGTTAGGTAATCCATTTGGTGAATGGGCAGTTGAACAGAATGCCTTTCATTATCTGTTGACGTTTATAATCAAAGTTACGAGCTTATATGGAGCCATTAACCTCAATCATCCTAGCAATAATCGCTAGAGGTTACCACTCAGACACATGATCAATCATTCAGTCAAGAACATAGGTAACCAAAAATTTACCCGGACGAAGTTCAAGGGCATATAGGACAGAATCGTCCAAAGTGTCGGCAAACGATCCATCCGGTTTCAAATATTGCCCATTCTGACAACGCAGGGCCACACGACCTAATCGGGCCACTGCATTTCGACCGGCTGTGGGGATAGCTGGTCGACCAGGACCTGCACTTCCTGCCATTGGGAGCTGTTCTATCCACAGTAAAGTTTCGGGACCCCAAGGATAGGGCATATCTGCTCGTAACTCGGTGCCATCAGGCATCATGCGAAAGTAGCGAGAACGGAACTGATGACGCAGATGAATCTGTATTGTGGAATTTTGTGTGGGGAAATGGGAGTTATTTAAATCATTGAAAAATTCCTAAAAAGTCGAAGTTAGTGAAATAAAATGGAATTTGATTAATCACCAATTGAGATGATCATTAAAGAAATTATGACTTGATCATTTCTACAGGTAGTTATCCAAGTGATTTGTTGTCCAGAGCCCGAGGTCAGCTTTATATTCTCATTATTATAAATAAGTTGAAGTGGGGCACTTCAGAGAACTTGATTTCCATTGAGCTTATATTCCTCAAGCTTGAATTACCGATAATTCGAAGGGTCGCCTATGGATGCACACAGCATCACAAATTCGAATAAACTAAAATGAACACTAACATTTTAGTCACGCCCTATCAGTTTAAAATTCTCTCTCTCTCTCTGGAAGCTCGATAAACTAGCACTAAGAGTAAAAAAATCAGCGGGGACTTATAAGGCCACGTTACTTCAAATGAACAGTGTGGATCTTCGTGACTAGTTCAGTTGCAAGTTTTCTGGTCTCTTCCACTGATTACTTCCTTCGCTTGTTTCCAACTGAAGAATACTTCAGTTCTATGTATCTTATCCAGACTTTCATGGGACTAGGATAAAAAGCGGTGTGCTCAACACCGTTCTTGTTGTTGTGTTACTACTTGGTTGCCTGATTTGGAGCGGGTAGACTAACGACCCCTCAACCAGGCGTGTTTCACGTTTGAAAATCCTAGTGCAGCCTGCAACGGAAAACCGGGAGGTTATTCCAGGCAAGTCTGTGATCTACTGTGCAATCCAGTGGCTTCTTACAAAAAAACAATACCGCATAGATTGAGCACGACAGTGATGACGAAATCTACCTTGACTCACCCCTCCGTAGGCTACAATGAATAAGAGCAATCGCAATTGTTTTTTTTGCACCACTAAACATGACAAACATTGGAGAAGAGTTTCGAAGTTCAGTCTATCAAAAATATGTCTCATTCAATGCGTTCGCATCGTTTCTTGTTGGGAATTAAAAACTATATACACACTGGTCTGTGGCGCTCAGGTCAAGCAGTGAGTTCGGTTATAACAAAACGTTCATATATGGGGAAAGAAAATATTTATAATGGGAGTAGCAACACGTGTGCACATTTAATTAGTGAACAAGGACTGTCCCATGACTTTTACCTATGACAAAGGCAAAAAACATTGCTACGCAATGCATTGAAATACAAATCGATTGTCAACGATTTATTGGCTTGTTTTCCTAATTGGATATGATAATACAAATCAGTGAATATTTTCGAGAACAGTGCAGTATCCGTTGGGTTTCCATCATATATATATATATATATCACTGAAGTACACGTTTGGCATATTGATGTAATATTTTAATGTTTTTAAATCATTTTTTGCTTATCAAGTATACAAATGTGCAATCAACTATCCGAAAGAGGATTGTGGTCATACAAAAACTGTCGGGGAAAATAAACAGAAATTTTGACTAGAGCGTTCGAAAATGTATGGGGTTTTGGTAAAACTCCGTACTCTGGATAAATTAAACGTCGTCTTGTCCCTCTCACCCATGACCTGAAACAGTTGAATTCCCTATGGCCTCCGCGATTTGCGCAATTTGAAATCCATCAATCTGACACGAGACTGTCTGATCATCGGTTCGTAATTTTTGTGATGCTCTTGTTGTCACTTGTTGCCCAGCCGTGTGACTGATGATGGCATTCCTGTTTTGCACAATGGAAGTTCACTAGGCATTCCATCGGAGCTGTGGACCAAGGTGTGGACTCTCACTCGGGTTAGCTGAACAATCATCACGTTCCCTACTACAGTTGAACCACTCGGTCGGTCGTGTTATTGTCAGACGCGCTTAGGAGAGAGAATGAGTACTTGCACGGGAATAAGGATGAGCCCTAACTAACATCTGAAGTAGAAAAGTTTTCTATTTCAACCTCACGAAGAACACGTGTGGGAGATGATCCCATAACAACCCGAAGAGAATGGATATTAGCATGATCAGACGGTAGAACATCTAGACCGTGAATTCCGTGCGATTCGTAATAACAATTGGTTGATCAAATGGTGGGATGGTTCAACCGTTTAACCGTCTACCAACTAATTACCTTCTAGGTTCTCACGTTCCCTTTATTGTATTGTGAAGAAACCTTAGCTAAAATTATATTTTGAAACTAACAATAGCAGTAAATATGAAACAATGACGTTTCTTCTTATCCTCTCTCTATTCCTAAACCCGAATGGGTAGCAATCGAAATCACCGCTCAAAGTGTACGGTTGATGGTTGTAAAAGCTGGAAATGACACCATGCGGATATCCGCTTCACATTCCAGCTTAACCTAGTACTAGTAACTACTATGCTATTTTATAACACAGTTCAAGGGCATGTTTGTTGATTTGTGTAGTCCCGGGTTCGAACCGCTCCACCGCCGCCCGTCTTCCCAGGTAACCGTTGTATGGCCGCAGTCCCCCTTCCTGAATGTTGACTGTGCATTTGTATATTCAATAAATAAAAACGGAAGTAAAGACATTTATTTTATTATCAGTGTTGTGCAGTGATGTATTGTGAACAACACGCACACGTACCTGGGGATGAATAGCCAGCCTTACGGACCACCACACTGGTGTCTTAGAAAAGCATGAAATCGAGGTATCCGAACCGCTGAGATAGAAGCCATGCGTTTCGGAGCGGAAAGCCCATTCACCTGTGGCTTGAGGTGAAAATTCGAGGACAAAACGCTCATCCGCACCTGTAAAAAACACATGCAACAAAAAACAATGAAAAACACCAGTAAGGATGTTTATTGCGATTATAAAAAAAATTGATGATAGGCGGAAAAATGACGAATTGTGGAAAACGATCACCAGCCAACTAGCAAACTTCTATCCATCCATTTGTGAACTCCTCGGAATAATGGCAGTAACGAATTCATGTTTTACCGCAGGACGTTTCCGGTGAGGATACCCAAAAACCCACATAATTCAAACAAGAAAACTTGCCAAACAATAATAAGGTACTTCCGGTAAACAATGAAGGATCTAATTTATTTTCTGTCACCTGTTCTGATTCCGTTTTGGGGTGATAGATCGATTACATATTGATCAATATGGATGAAGCTTTTTCGGCATTATGTGAAAAGCGACATTCCAAGTCACATTCGACTACGATACACGTTAGAGTTGCATCCCGAACCTTGGCACCAGAAAGGTATTAAAATACACTGCCGTTGAGAGAAGACACGTGTCGAACTGTAGATTAACGGGCAGATTTGCTTTATGCTAGGCACACTGTAAAGGGATAGAGATGTAGAGAAATTCACCAGTCCCTTGCCGTTTGACTCCCAAGCCTTGATTGACGGTAAGTACCGTTACCAGATCATCTCAACGAATCCACAGTACATTCACACCTTGAAAAATCACTCGATCTCGACACCTTGATACATCTCAGTTGATATGTTATAACCCATACGTCTCACAACCTTTAGTACTTGTATTTGTACCTTTTTACCCATCGTGTATCTCACTCCAGCTCACCCCCCCCCGCCTTCCCTTTTAATCTTGACGGCCTAATACTACTTGGTAACAGGTTGGTACCAGCAAATGTCTCAAGGCTGTATTTGTGACCTCCCCCTCTGATATGACTGACGAATAATCGCATTGCATCACTCCGTATATCAAATTGTGTTCTAGTAACCTTTCTACTTCCCGTTTGAGATCGCATTTGATCCATGTCAATTAGCTCTGATGAATATAGTGTATCTATGTCCCATTAACCAGCATTCGAGTACACGAGGAATGGTGCACATAGACTAAAAGTGACTGTGATTGGTCGGTTGATGTTCCTCGTTCTTTGGTCTGACAGATCCTTGCGTGTAGATTGACGCGACCTCCAGTCCTGAGCTAAGTTGCTCAAAAATAATAGATGATGGCTAGTAGTAAACATTTGCCATTGGAAAAAGTCATATATCCCACGTATAAAGTAATCAAATGAAGTATTCCAGTCGGGTGTATCGAGTACTATTTATAACCAGTATTGACACAAGTTCACTAAATCCCTGTACCTGGAAATGCACCACCGAAAATTTCCGTTGGTTTAAGCGGTATACGACACATCTCCGAAGTACAGTTTAGCATTCTTTAGGGATAAACCAGTTCTGAAGTCATTCTGGCTTATTTTAACAATACTACTTTCCACTTCAGCTAAATATCTCAGCGATCTTATTTATTACGGTTTACACGAAGTCCTGCCTTTACTTCGTAGTTTTTTTGTACAAAACCGCACTCTGACACTTATCCATACTGATATCCGAGGCAACGAATGTGGGCCACGTTCAGCTAATGCAACACAGTATAGATGTACTAAAAAATTCTCCCAACAAGTGTCTTGAAGTACATCGACATTTGTTTTGCTCGTCCCTGTCCCGGGTCCGAGCCCCAGTTGGGTCGATGGATTCGCTCTGCTGATGAGACCCAATCAGGTCAAAACAGCTATCCAGTACTTCCTAGCTTTTCGGTCCAGGTTCCATCTGCTCTCTACACGACAAAATTCACCAAATAAACACCTCGTAATTGTTTGGACAACAGAAATTCACCGAATGGAATCTGGTTTCAGACTATAGTTTGGGAAAAAGTATGTATAGTCGTGGTCACTATTCAATTTTTCTCCCACAAGCGATCCGACGGATAGGTTTTCAATTACTACACGGTAAGTCATCGTGACTCAGAGGCTCTAATGTTCTTACAGTGAACGTTTTTGGTAAACGAAGTGTTAACAGATAAAAACTTCTTGCGGTTAATCTTTTATCAAACAATACATTGTGCAACATTTAGAACATTATTAAACACTATCAAAAAATCAAAGACCTACCGGGTGTGGTGGCTGCACCACAAACACGTCCATCCTTGTCCGCCGATAGGAAGCGCCCCAGATGGCTTTGAATGAAAACGGTTTGGGGACTACCGCGCTCCGTTAGCACTGTCCAAACCTGACGACGTCTTAGTGCCGTTCCAGATACGTTGATTTCATTGTTGAACACTTCAGCGGTTAGAAACCGACCGGAAGGACTGTGTAAAATACCTAGCTTGATGCATTCGATAAAATCTGCTCCAAGTCGAGATGATTCCATGTTGAAAGATGAGATGACGAACTCCCCCGGATGAAAATTAAGCGCTCACAACGCGTCTGCTAGTGCACGTCAAAACAAGAATGAAACAAAGAATCATAACACGACCTGCCCGCTTATCGAAAGCGATAAACAAACCACCCAGCCAGGTCAAGGTCAACTGTGGAGCCAACGATTAACGAACAAAGGAACCCAATGTGCAGGTGGGAAGATTTGCACTAGCACTGTGATTTTCATCATTCCACAGTCGTTCTCTAGCCCAAGTATGGCTCTGAAAAACAAGTCTTTCTCTTTCTAGGCAAGAGAACATCCTCACTTCATGGTAGTGAGAGGCTATATGGGAGAGTATGACAGTGGAAAGATTCCATTTTATTAATTCTGTCTTAAATTACAAATAAAAATCAATCTGCAAACCCTGACCGTTAAGATTATGAGAACACTTTTCAAAAAGGCTTAGTAGTCACAGGATTTGGAGCATGCGAACCGCACTTCTGATAGTAACAACTTCTTCTAATGAAAACTGAGTTCATCTCGATTACGATTGGATTCATGGTGATGCATTCCAAGACATTCTTAATAGGTATGGCTTACAAAATGCTGGCCACAGACTGATGTCAGTTTCAGTTTCGTTTTCACAACCGTTAGCCCTGCCCTTTCGTGTGGCGGTTTTGGTTGCTGTCTCAATAACTGCAGAAGAATGGAACGTTGTGAGCAGAGTCAAAGAGAGGATATAGAATCCACATGGACTATGGTTGCTCCAGTGGCCGACCGCGGTTACCTAAACCTCTGCGCCTAACCTCAGCATTACTAGTCCGGTTTCCCCATCAGACTCGTGCAATGCTTCGTAGACAGCGATATTCGTACATCGACAGTCTATCTTGACCCTTTTTTCGTAATGGCCAAATCACTGCTCCACATAGAACGATTGCACCAAAAACACTTGATCTTTCACAGACAGCCGGATGTCGTAACAGTATCAACGTCAAAGTTTTATTATGGGCGATTTAACAAAGCTCGAGTTGGCAAATGCCAATCAAGCCTTCTGCATGTGTGCCGACAATTCAACCGCAAAGCATCCGCCGGGTGCGATACAGCTGCCCAAATAACAAAAGTTGTCCGCTTGGTCTATTACTTTCCCAGTAAGAGTGAGGCTAGCTGCTGTACCAGCCCTGTCTTATCGTAACGGTTTACACTTTGAAGGTACAAAACGCTTACCGAACTTGGCTACCCTAGTCCTCATGCTATCCCGAAAAGCTTGCAACTTGTCTGAATTTTCACTTAGCAATAAAATGTCGTCTGCATACTCCAGATCATAAAGTCTACCACCTGGGAGCAAATCGATGCCATTATTCACAATTAAATTTATAACGAAGGTGAATAGAAAAGAAGACGGCAGCCGTGATGAACACCACATTCTTTGGTGAACTCGGGTGAAAAAGTGCTGCCAATTCGGACTCGGCTTCGGCTATTGAAATAAAGAGATCGCAATATTGAAATCAATTTCTCGGACACATCATTCAAAGAGGCACGGCCGGAGTATAGCGCGGTCGACTGATTCGAATTATCATCATAATCGCATAGCGCAATACATTGAAGAGAACTTCATTGAC